CACTCTGTGTTGTATAACCTCAAATACCACTACCAAGAAAGAAATTCGGTATGCTTGACGCTGAAAAGCAGCTTAAAAATTCTTAATAACCAAACAGCATAGCCATTAACTTTGTTTTAGAGTTAGACTGTGCGAAAAAGATCTTTTACAATTGAACAACAGTAATAAATTAGTGTAAAAAAGACGAACATAAAGATCAAATTTTTGGTTCAATAACCGGAGCTAACCAATATTGTTGAAATTGTTGAAAAAAACGTTCAACCACTGTATCAAATGAATCCAACGTATCACGGTTGATGTAAAAACTGAAAAATTAGAAGAGTAGTCATTTAACAGTGGATATCGTAGATGAATGATCTCTTTTCAATCTATTGCAAATTCTAAACGATTGATTCATGGTCTATCAAGATATTGTGATCGGTCATCTCATAGTGGTAAAACTATGTCCATTGTCACGGGTCGACCATTATTAGAAATCTACAAATATACGTATTATCTTTTTGATTACACCATCTTTATGTGTTGCGATTGGAAATTAAAACATTTAAAACATAACTATGCTCAATATAGTAGATATACACCATCGCATAGAAGTATATTAGATTTTTCATTAGAATATGATTTTAGTCGCCATTACTATACGTATGAACATACGCCACGACGAATCGATCAATTTTTACGATGGTTAACAAAAAAAAAGAAACAAGAAGCGACAACAATAGGTGGATTCATGACATTTCATATTGGTATTGATCAAAATAATAATGAACAAACATGGAAATTATTCAACTACCAGCAACAGTCAATTTGAGAATGATTTTTGTTATTAAATAGTTGATAGTTTAGTAATAAATGTTATAAGAAAAAAATCATACGTTAGCTGAGGATAAATCTGTTAAGAGCAAGATCGGTCCCTGTCTCGCTGTCAGTATAAATTTTCTTCTGTAAGGTTTATATCAGAGATGCTGCTAGTGTAGGTAAGTAGTGTATTGGAATAGGTGAGCAACAGTCATACTATTTGTTCAAACAAGCACGATTTAGATTAAATATATACGTTTGCTCACACATAGAGTAGTTTGGTATTCCGACGGGTTCTTTCTCCACCAGTATTGGAACTAAGGGTTTTAGAATATTCTCCTTTTTCTTCCTTACTTTTTTCCTCCTCAATAGGATGAAAACTTTTTTCCCGATCGTGGTTTAATCCACTGCTTAATCATAGATATCCATTGCGGACTAATCTTTTGACGCTTATTATACGATGAATTGGTGGTAGAATAAACACTTTCAAGCTTCTTCCTTCGAAACAAATTACTTTCATTATCAAAAATTACGCTTTCATCAAATTTAATCGCACAATCGGTATTAGCACTGATATGTTGAATCAATTCAGAATTCTCTATATCAAATTTCTTAATTTTCATTTTATGTTGTTTAATTCTTTTATGTAATGATACGGTTTCACCTGTGTATAAATCGCCACATTCACATGGTAACCCGTACACTGCAAATTCTCCAGTTTTTATACATTTTTCTTCACTAGCTTTATTTTTATTTATACTGTTTAGAGCAACTATTTTGCCTTTATTAACCATAACCACATCACCTATACTAGGATTAAGTTTTGTATAAATTCTGACTCCAAACTTTTTAAGGAAATGTCTTCATTTTTCTGTCAATTCATTTACATGAGGAATAACAATAACACTCTGTTTACTATTTTTCCCATTCTCGTCTTCATTATTCTGTTTTCTCACTATTCGAAAAATTTTCTTTACTAAATCATGTGGATAACCACTATTCATCAACATATTTATAAGTATTTGCATGTCATTATCGTTATGATTTCTATTATTTGCTATCTGAATTCTTTTAATCATATTTATAGCGATATTTTTCTTCATTGTCAGATTATGATCAGACTCATAATGTAGCAAACGGTTACTTGCCGTTGGTTTTTTATACCAATTTGTTTCTAAACATAATTTAGTTCCATTAAAATGGATTTGCACATCTAAGAAAGATATAGAATTACTTTTCTCGGAGGAAAGTGTGTTTTGATCACCAAAAATTACACTTTTGATCACCAAATTTATTTCTATCGAAATGATCACCAAAAAACTACACTTTTGATCACCAAATTTATTTCTATCGAAATGATCACCAAAAAACTACACTTTTG